TTGTTATTCGCGAAGTTCTCTTTGTAAAGTACACCTCGTCTAATGGCGAAGGTTGGCAGGGCTCGTGAAAAAACACGTAGCATGGCACTCCCGCGCCCTTCCGGGTGCTCTATTAGTGCGCGCAGCTCAGGATCGTCTCGTTGACGTCGGGCCATGTCGTCGGTGTTCACTGCGCCCAGGAAACACTCGTCGTCATCGTCGTCGCTGCTGGTGGAAGGTGTTTCGACGGGAGCTCTGGACAGGCAGTCGGCGTCGCTGTGCTTGCGGCCCGACTTGTAGACCACGGTCATGTTGAACACTTGTAGTCGGAGACTCCATCGCGCGAGGTGTCCGGACGGGTCCTTGGGTTCTCGCTCGCAGTAGATCTTCGGCACGCTGTCGTCGCTGCAGGTTGGCCAAGGTGCGTCGTAGCTCGGCCTGGAATTCTTCCCATGACGAAATCGACGCTTCGTGGTTCTCGAACCAGGTGCGTGCCGTGCCTTCCAGAGAAAAGTAGACATTCTGAAGGCACTGCTCCGGTGTCCATCTGTTATGGCGGGCCGCTCCTTCGTAATGTTGCAGCCAATCTTCAACGTCCTCGTGGACCTCCCCGTGGAAAGGCGTCGGAGTCCGGGGTGCGACGTTAAAGTATACGACAGCGGCGGCGGACGGTTCTGCGACGACTGGTTGTCCATCGTCGGCCTCGTTGGCTGCTTGATCCTGGGTGGCAGAAGTTCGTATTCCGGGGGTAGACCTTGGGTGCGGTGACTTGATCGGGTCTCGATCTGGTCTTCGTTGGGTCCTCGGGAGGCTGGGTTTGGACTTGTACTGCAGGAACTCGGAGGGCTGCGCTGCACGGACATGCGGTACCCCGCACCTCCACCAAAATGTCACGAATGACAATGGATGAGGCGGTGATAACTGAAGAAACTAAACGTTTAATGGGGCGAATTTGTGCCTAAAAATAAAAGGAAACAGAAGATAACAGCAGAGCGTCGCGGGAGTCCAAGTCGGCGTAAAAGCAGAGTCGAACGCTGGGGCGAGACTGGCTCCGCTCGCCTTGCGGAGTCCCTTATGTAACCTCGTAGGTTTCTGGATCATTCGGCGTAGAATTTTCTGAGCGTAGAACATTCAGAACTTGATCAGACGAGAATGTTCTCGCGCTTACGAGAAGGCAAAGTTGAAAGAATAAATAAAAAGACAGTCCGCTGACTGCAATCGAACCTACACCTTCCGCGCGACAGTCAAGCGCGGTAACCACTCGGCCACGCACGCGCTTGCTCGCCGACGCGCGAACTCTGAGTGACCTGGTGCGCGTCCCCGACACACGTGTTTACCGCGTCCTAAAAACTAGTCCCTCGATTTCCCCCTCATGACGTCATCCGAGTGTCACGCGGACGCCGGCCGCGATCCTGGCGGTGTGTCATAGCGGCGGTGATGGAAGTGGCAGACGCCTGTTCTGTCGTCCTTCGCTCTCCAGATTGACCAGTCCCCGGAAGCTTATTAAACCCAGCCAGGAGTTGGGACCCTACGATGACCGCGACACTCGGGTTCACCCGTTCACGGCACTTCCACGCCGAACCGCCAGGGTCGCCACTTCCGACAGCATGGCGCACTGGCTTCCACGCAATCATCTGCCGGAACCACTTTCAGCGCACTAGTGGTAAAGAAGGCTAAGCACATAATTCGAAGTCGCGTTCCTGGCGAGGAGGAAACGAAAGAGCGCGCGCGGTGAACTCAGAACGCGTTTCAATACCGGCGTTCGTCCCCGCGCGCGCTCTCGCGTCTCTTCCTCTCCCCCAGTTTCTACCCGCGTACACGTCTGCAAGTACGGACTCTGGGCGCCATGTTGCTTCTACCGTGTGAAGACCGTCCGCCTATAGTCAAGCCTCTCCAAGGCGTTTTCACAGTTGCTAGACCGGTTCCTCAACAAAAGGGTTTTCACACACGGTGGCCAGACTAACTTTTGTGGCGTGGTTGCTTGCAGACGACTTTGGACGTTTGCAAGTACGGCCTCTGGGCACCGCGGTCTTGTCGCTGCTGTGGGTAGATCGTCCGATGGTCAAGCGCACTCCTGAGGCCGTGTGTACGCCTCGGCAGTGCTTGACTATCAGACGGTCTACCAAAACCGGTAGCAAGATGGCGGCTGCCCAGAGGCCTTACTTGCAAACGTCTTTGCAGACGCGGGTCTTGCTATATTCGTTTGTTTCTCTCACCATCGCTGCGAAGGTCACAGAAAGTCCAGTGGGTCCTACGAGGTCTACATCAACGCTGACGCCGTGCACTACCGTGGAGCCCTCGATGACAACAGCTACGGGTGGAGGGATCATGAAAATAGAAGACGTCACGTACAAATCCCTGACGTTAATGCCGCGTCCGCCGATAGACGAAGACAAGTGGCAGGTAAGCAGAGCTTTTATACTCGTCCGCATAGATGTTCCGTATACTGAACGAGGAAACGCTTTCAAGTCAAGTTAAAAGAAGACACCTATTTCCTGGCGGGCCTTTGCTGAGCTCGCTGTTGCTTTCCCACCACTACGGAAGAGAGAGAAGGGAAAGTTACATTTTTACGAATTTTGAGTGACGGGTTAATCGTCTATACTCTTCTAGAGGGAGAATAGCCACGTCCGGGGAAGTCCGGGACGCACAAAATAGAGTCCAGATGAGAAGAGAGATTTTACCTTCCCCTCTTCTCTTGTGGTTGCCGGAGAGCTGACCGAGTGTGCGCTGTGAGCAATCACCTCAAATATGGCGTCCAGTGAATACCACTAATAGGCACCACGAGAGAACAGCACACGACAAAACGCACCCGACAAAACTGCACGCGACAAAACAGCACGGCGTCAAAACAACAGAGCGACAGAAGAGCACGTGCCAAAACAGCACGCGACAAGATAGCACAGCAACAAAGCAGCGCGCACATAAGTGCATACTGTTTTGTTTTTTTCGCTAATATTAGCAGCACGCGTTTCAATGAAGTACTTGCTGCTAACGTATTCAGCAGAACATATGTGTTGTCGTCACACTTTATGATATACCAACATATGACTCTATATTTGTACCCTGCGCCGTTATATTTCATTACCTACTTGTAGCGCTTGGCACGCGTTTAGGAATTTAAAACCTTCACACAGCAAGCCAATGAAGCTCATTTTTTCCCGTCGTTTTAATGACTGATTGATTGTTAATCCGTTTACGATTTATATTGATACAAATGCGGCATTATATTTACCCAAAGGAAGAATAAAGATCACAATTGACGAATTTAGTGCAACTGCTAAATAAATAGCTTATCAGTTTCACATATACTAGTGAATTGTGGTCTTCATTCTTCTTTTTCGTAAATATAATGCAGCATTTGTGTCTGTATAAAACGTTAACAGATTAACACTCAATTATTAGAGAGTTTTAGTAGACCGTTCCCATGACTCCGATAACGATACCCGATACTCCGCCACCGCGCCTCCCTTGCGCATGCATATAGTATCGTTATCGGGGCTATCGGAGGTATCGGAACGATCTACTAAAACTCTCTACTCATTAAAAAGACGGCAAAAAATTCAGCTTCATAGGCTTGCGGTGAGAAGCTTTTATATTACCGAACATGCACAAAAAGTTATAAGCAGATAAAAAAAAAAGAAATAACGGCGTGGGTCATAATATTGAGCCATATAACAGTTGGTAATAAAACGCAACGGCTATACGCGTGTTCTGTGATACACGTTAGCGGCAAGTACTTAATTTAGGCGCGAGCAGCTAATAATCTTTCCTGTATACAGCTAAAGAAAACAGAATGCATTTATGTGCTCGCTGTTTTGTCGGGTGCTGTTTTAGCGCGTGCCCTTCTGCCGCTCTGCTGTTTTGACGCCGTGCTGTTTTGTCGCGTGCCGGCCGTTTGGAAACGTCCTGTTTTGTCGCCGTGCTGTTTTCTTTTTTCTTTTTTTTTTTTTTTTTTGTCTTGTGATGTTCTGTCGCGTTCCATCGAGAGTATATACTGTATACGCTCTTACGAGCCGTAGTGACACTGCCCGTGCATCCTACAAAAAAAAAAAAGCGGTGTTCGCGGCAGCCATGATGATATCATTATCTCCGGACACGAGCATCTTCGACGCACGTTTCATTTTTATAGGTAACGCTTTAAACGGGTCTGCAGACAGTTTGTTGGTGTGACCAGTAAGGAGTTTCAGGGAACCGATTTTGCACACCCGATAAGGTACAACAGGGCTTTCTGATACGAACTGCGCATGCTCTGCCACAGAAGAGACCCATATGCGCAATTCGTACCGGAGGGCTCATCGTGTACCGTATCGGGTGTGCAAAGACGGTTCCCTGAAACTCCCTAATGTAACGGGACCGTGACGGCGTCTGCAGGCTGTCTTTTGTACGATGCATTACCAGCGTGGCCGCGGATTTAAGAAGTCTGGAGCGTCTACTTTCTTGGAGAGCAAGAAAAGCAGACACTATAGAGAGTTTTAGGGAACCGTTTTTGCACAAACGATTCGACACGATCGGCTCTCCGGTATGGGCTGCGCATGCGCGAGGTCACTGCTGCCTTACCGTGGTCCAGTACGTGTCCGAACCGTGAGCTGTGGTCGTGTGCTCAAAGCGGCTGATGACAGAAGCCTCTCGTCTCGTTTATATAGAACGGCTGTTTGGCTGTGGCAAGAGGCTTGTCGAAGGCTTTAAACGTGAAGGAAAGCATTCGTGATTGTGCCTAGAAAAAATCGCTATGGTGGTGGTGAGAGAATCACGTCAAATTCACGACAAATGACACAAAAAACAAACGAAACCTGAACAAGACACCAACGCTCTCTCAGAATCATAATGTTCCTTTGGCTCAGTTTGCGGGGATGTTGCATAGCTTAGTTGGATGAAGCGTCGCTCTCCCATTTTGACGAAGGCGCCAACGACACGGACTCAATCCCTGTCCGATGACCCAGCCGTTAGTGGTTAGGGTGTGCGGGATTTGCAGCGCGGGGCAAAGATGAGCTACGACAGCTATGTGGAAGCGAAGTTGGTGGTGGTGGTGGTGAATACGTTTATTTAAAGAGAAAAATATATATCTCTGGAGACTCGAAGTTTTCATGACGCGGTGGCCTCAAGGCTTGGCATCGTCTCCTCGGTTAAAGGTGTTAGATGGAGTTTCCCAGGTCTCCCTCAGAAATATACTCTAAGAGAGATCTGAGGATCCTGGTCTTGCGTGAGGTGTCGCCCGCTGGGTGCGTCCAGTCCTGCAGTTTTGAAGGTCTTTCATCATTCGCCATCTTACTGAAGATGAGTGTTCTGAGGGTGGAGAGGGCCACACATTCCCAGAGTATGTGTTTAAGTCTGGGAATGGATTCCTCGGCTTGACACCGCTGGCATCTGGGGTCGGGAGGGACAGCGTAGGGTTGTTGTTTCTTAAGTCTTGCCAGGTCCATTTGGTATCTGAACCTGGGTGTGACTGCTCCTCCTGTGCGTATGCGGCGGAGGATCACCGATTCTTTTCTCTTGAATTCTTCCCTAGGGAGAGGATGTTGTTCTGGGGTCCATGATCTTGCCAGAAGATGTTTTCGTGTCTTCTGGGCTAACCTGAGTTCCTCCCTTGGATCGTATGGGGGAAGCTCAGAGTCTTGTTGCTGTGGTGTTGAGCCTGCCGTGGAGGACTGAGACAACAGGGACGGTTGTGTGAGATTCCTCATCGCCTGCTGTGCAGCCTCATGGGCTAGCTCGTTGCCCGAAATGCCTTCGTGCCCGGGAGTCCACTTGACATTAATTTGAATTTTCTTGGATCTGTATAGTGAGATTGCGAAGGCGAAGATAGCGTCAATGGTGGGGCTAGAAGAGGACCTGTATTTCTTGAGTTCTCTGATGGTGTCTTGCGAGTCGGTATAGACGATTAGCTGCTGTTCGTCTTGTAGATGGGGTACTGCCCCTCGGATGGCTTGCAACACCGCCTCCCGTTCGGCGAAGCCCGGCGTGTGGCGGCCTCGAGGGTTACCTTGAGTCTCTGTCCAGGTCGCATTCCCTTGGATGTATGTGGCTGCTGTTGCCCAACCCATAGAGGAGATGCTGGCGTCCACATAGGCGATCATGTTTTTTTCGTCCTCAACAAGCTTAGCCAGCTCCTTCTTGTGCATGCGAGCGTAGTGTTCTCGTCTTTTCTTGTGCCGCGCAGCGTCCATGTTTCTTGGGAGAGGTTTGCACCCGTGAGTTACGTCAATGAGTTCCCACGGCGCTTTGCTCGGCGATATGGGGGCCTCTTCTTGTATCTCGATTCCCATGTACTTAGCAATTTTTCTTCCCTCGGTTGTATGTTGTAGACGGGATAGTTGAGCCTCCTTCTGTTGGTTCATAAGGTCTGTGAGTTCTGGGAGGAAGATGCACTTGCTTACTTCCTCTGCCGAAGTGTGGCGTGGGAGCCCAAAGATGGCTTTTCTTGCTCCGTTGATCATGCTTTTAAATCTGGAAAGATGGGTTTTCGTGAGCCGGTAGAATCTCGCCGCATAGGCTATTTTGGATACTAGCACTGCAGTCACGAGTTTTTTGGCTGTTTTTTCCCCAGCTCCTCCCATTTTCGTGGATATTCTTCGGACGAGATTAATACCTTGTTTCCATTTCTTGGAGATCTCGGCCAGCCGAGCTTTGCTTATTCTTGGCTTGTACCCAAAGTTAATTCCAAGGATTTTAACGGAGTCTGCTTTTTGGACTGGGTCTCCCGCAAAGGTAAGACCTAGGTTTTTGTTGTCTTGATTGCGGCCGTAGATGGTATATTTAGGTTTTTCTGGCGATGGGAACATTCCCACATCAGCAAGATATTCTTCAATGGTGTCGATTCTCTTCTGCAAGGCGACAACTTGGGCTTCGGGAGGCCCTTGATGCGTCCAGATCGTGATATCATCTGCGTAAATCGTCGCCCTGAGGTTGGGTATTTTATAAAGTTTCCAGAGGAGTGGTGCCATAACGATGTTGAAAAGTGTAGATGACAACACTGCGCCCTGAGGAACTCCAATGTTATTTTCTTGAAGGGTTCCTTCTCCACACTCTTTGTCATATCCAGCTCGGATTTTGTAGACCCGTCCCGAGAGAAATGATTTCACAAAGTCTAGTTGTTTACCCGTGAGGTCTTGCTGCTCCATCTTGCCAATGACTGATTGATGGGGGACAGAATCGAAAGCCTTCTTTATATCGATAGATACAATCACTCGCATTTGTTTTTTTCCTGGGTGCATGTCCACGACGTCTGTGTATATCATCTGCAGACTGTCCTGTATGCACAAGTTCGGTCTAAATCCGGTTTGCGTTGGATGAAAGATGCCGAGGGTTTCAGCGTTGTGCTGAATCCGTGCGAGTACCATTCTTTACATAAGTTTTCCCATGATTGAGGTCAAGGAAATAGGTCGGACGTTTGGAAGCGAAGTTGGGGTGATCCACTTCGTCCACCGACGCGAGGTTGAACGTTTCTAGTCTCGCCATAACTAATCTCCTCTTTTTTGGGCTAGCCAAGTCAAATAAAAAAACTACTTCTAATTTTTTTTCTCACCGAATAAAGCCAATTCGAACTCATCGTCAAAAATTTCTAGTGTTATGGTTACCACGTAGATCGTCTGCTCCTTCAGCAGACGAACTGCTCAGTCAAGGTGGGGACTCCGCCACCACATTTAGCGCTCCCATTCTAGCCAAACAAGACAAATGATGGTTAGTTTCACAAATTTTGCTTCAGACTATTTCTGAAAAGACAAATGTCTGTCCTTCAGTTCAGTGAAATCACCAAACACTCCTCCCCTCAACGGACATATGCCCCGCCCCCTCTTTACTCGCTTTACGAAGCCATTGCACATTTCCGTTTCCAGGGGGCGCGGCCTGCGCCGATCTATATCGGCCTGCGCCGATATAGATTTCACATTTAAATATTCTAAGCTTAAATGTAAAACAAAATGGCTAGGTGGCGTAAGCTACCGCCCGATCCAAAGGGCTCAGCCGTATTCATCCATCCATCCATCCATCCGTCTGAAAACGCGGTTCTCTAAAAGCCGTTTCAAGGAAAACGATCGATCCGAGCTCCCGATCCGAAGTATCGATCGTTTGGCCTATTGACCGTGTTTTATTCCGGTTCCCTAAAGCTTTCTATTGTCTCTTCCTGGATCCACTTTCGTGTAGATCCAGAAGAAAAAAAAATGTCTGAGATGTGGCACCGATTAGGGGCGCTAAGTTCTGTACCACAAAGCAGACTACATTTTCTTATGTTTTTATTCTTCGTCTCGGCTTACGTCCAGACTCAGCCGACGACACGGGCTAATAGGACCGATCAGGCAGCGCCAAAATCGAAGTCAGTGCGCCTTTTGTTGTTTATACGGTTGGTTCAGCGACTTTGGAACGCGTACGCAAACATTGCGATACGCCACGATTGTGCGTTCTGACGCTGTCTTGATTGGTTTTCAGCCCGAAAGGCGAAGCTAAAAAATACACTTAAACCTAAAAGATGCAAGACGCGAAAGTGTGCCTGGGAGCTGGTTAGGAAACGTAATAATCTAAACCCAAGCGAAACGTCAAGCTCAACGTCCCCGCAAACATCTTACTTTTTTTTTTTTTTTTTTTCCAGCGGCAGCTTTTAGTGTTCCTTCCCGATAAAAGAGGCTCATGTATGAACGCAAAAAGCTCACTCTACACCAAAGGCACTGCTTACCCTCTCCCCGTCATTCCTCACGCACGGCAAGGCTGTCTCTCGCACGTCACCTCCTCCACCCCCTCCACCCTCCCTACCAAGGGATCACGAGGAGAGCGCTCTCCGCTTCCCTAAAGTCACTGGATATGGAAAGTAGCGCCAATACCTTCCCACCTGCTAGCCAGGCACAAACGAATACCAACAGACAGACGACGGAACCTCTCAAGGTTATTGGCTCATCGCTGTCGGTTGCCATGACGATCGCCATTTTGGACCCTTTCAAAGCTTCGAAGCTTTGAAAGGGTCGTCAAAACCAGTCGCACCGAGATCGCTATGGAGCAATAGGAAGTTTTAGTAGATCGTTTTCGAAGGCCCGCTACCGCTACAGGCGCGCGCTTCAGAGCATGCATAGAAGTGGCAGCGCGATATCCCGCTACAAAGTGCGGGGCCCGAAAACACGATCTACTAAAACTCTCTATTATCGTATTGAAAGCGTTACTCGGCCAATATGAGTGTTTTTAGCACTGCGCATTCAATAAACTTATCGTTCATGCTTATTTCCCCAGATCTCTTACAATTATGTTGCTCTTGCGTGTTTCAAGACAGTAAAATTATTTTTCAATGCCCTCAAGCACCGACGCCGCGTGTGATGCCGTACATTTTCGTACCGCCATCGCATGAAACGTCAGTGCTTAGAGGCATTCTAAAATAATGTTACTATCTTGAAACCCGCAAGAAGAGCAACATAAGTGTTAGACATCCGGGGAATTAAGCATGAGTGATAAGTTTATTGCATGCACAGTGCCAAAGACGCTCATATTCGCCGGGGAACGCTTTCAGTACGATGATGCTCTATAGCGATTTTGGTGTGACTGATCTTAACGACCCTTACGAAGCTTCCGGGGTTTGCAAGGGTCCAAAATGGCGATCGCCATGGCAACCGACAGCGATTATCCAATCACCTTGACAGGTTTTGTCGCCTGTATGTTGGTATTTGTTTGTGTTCGGCTGGCAGGCAAAAAGGCAATGGCACTACTTCCCCAGATCCAGCGACTTTACGCCTCCCCATAGTTCCTGCTACATCCACGTACCCTACGGCGACAGCCTCCCTTCCTCGCTCCCCCTCCCCACTCACCCCTCCGGCAGCCGCCGTTGCGAAATACTCACGAGGACGCGCTGTGCGGACACGCTCCCTCGCCTCCCCACCACCGCCGCCCATGGTTCCTTTTTCGTGTGCTCTCCGCGTCTCTACAAAACAGATCGCGTGCGTACTTTCGCTTCTACCACTGCAGGCGCGGTCGCGGATCCCCCCGTCCTAGAGACGGCGTTTCAGGAAGAGAAGGAAAAAGAAAAAGGAGCACGTCACTATGACATGTTTTTCCAAACCACGCATGATCTCGCGCAATCGTACCTCCAAAGCACACGTCTCCTCATACGCGTCGCCTAGGCAATTTCCATTGAAAGCAAAGAACCCATTGCAAAACATGGTACAGCACACTGGCTGAAGGCAAATTTCCTTTAACATGCCTTTTTACAACAGCAGCTATTCCGCTGTCAATCACGGCACACTTTGTGTTGTCGTTTGCAATATTTTTTTTTTTCTGTCTAATCGTATCTTGAGTTTATCATTCGCGTGCATTATTCGATTCTGCGCCGATATTGGCTGTCTCGTGTCATGGACCCAATACCACGTAGAACACAAGGCCTGCGCGTTCCTCCTCTAAACGTCATCACTATAGTAGATCCCCTCAGCGCCCCTTAGGTGGCCCGGATGAGCACCATAGTCTGCTATCGTCTGCGACATCGTCTGCTCCGTCTCCTTCTTCAGTGGTCATGCTCACAACGAGTTCACATCAATAAGCTGCTAAAACCGGCAATCTTGATGGTGTCGCATGGCTGCAGCTATCAGCTCGCGCTCAGCAGTCACGCACAGAAGCTCTGGCCGCCAGTGAATGCGACGTGGTTATGATGTGGCCCTTACCGCTCATTCACACTGGAAGCGGATCCGCGTTCGCAAAGCGGTTGCGAACGCGGTTGTATAAAGATCCAGTGCAATTGCACGCGCACTTGATGTCATCGAGTGCGCGTGCAATTGCACTGGATCTTTATACAACCGCGCTCGTAACCGCTTTGCGAACGCGGATCCGCTTCCAGTGTGAATGAGCGGTTACACTCGTCAAGCTTCAGCCTGTTTGCCGCTTGGGGCAGGTCGGGGATCTACTAACGATGACGTCATGCGCAGCCCTTGACTTTTAGGTTGTATTAATAGATCCCCCCACCGGAACTTCATCTGTCAGCACCAGGGGTTTTAGACAGTCACTGAAAACGGGCAGGGTCACAGACGCCACTTCATCAAACAGGTCCCGGCTGCAGTCCGAGAGGACCAATAAATCACCTACAAATCTAGAAATATTTAACACCCCTCATTTGTTTCAGCTCGCTAGCCAAGTTTCTATCAATGGCCGCCAGAAAAATGTTTGTTATAGGTGGCGCTGTGTCTATGTCTTCCTTTCTGCCCGTTGTCCTGCTGCACTTTTTAACCATTATGAATCACCAAGTCGCCTAACACTCTACCCTCTTATATCGCATACCACTTCAAAACTTTTTCTATTTCTTTTTTTTTTTTTTTACAGAAATGCTTAGAGGAGGCCGCCGAAAAAGTAAGTGCACGACGAACGCGACTTACCCAAACGCTTCGGGTTCTAAACCACCACCAACATTATTAGAACAACTCAGTTACGGGACTGCCCCCCGCGCTGCCGCTTCAACGTCCTTTGAGCACGCACTATGATCTGTACTGATCAAAGCTGTCTTTTTTTTTTTTTTTTAATGCGAAAGCATTAACTGTTCTATAGGGAGAAGCCGGTGGTGTCTGTAGCCGTTGTCTGCAGCAGCGAAAAACGAGGGCTAAATTTCCATTGGCTGAGCGA